GCTTCAGCTGGGGCAGGGGGGTCTGATTTTTTTATTTTTTTTTTATTTATTTATTTTTGCTGGACATGAACCAGTGCCCCAGGCAACTCTGACAGTTTCTGTGGGTTTATTGCAGCTATGACTTGGGCATGGAGAATCGTGATGCCACAGATGACAAAGTGACAGTGGAAGCTGCTGAAGCTATAAAGAAATACAATGTTGGCATAAAGTGTGCAACCATCACTCCTGATGAGAAAAGGGTGGAGGAGTTCAAGCTGAAGCAGATGTGGAAGTCTCCCAATGGGACAATTAGAAACATCCTTGGTGGCACTGTCTTCAGGGAGGCCATCATCTGCAAGAACATCCCGCGGCTGGTGTCTGGATGGGTGAAACCCATCGTCATTGGCCGTCATGCTTACGGGGACCAAGTGAGTCACTTCAGTGCTTATCCCTCTTTATCTGCACAGTCTTATTCCTGAGCTGGGGCAGAGCTGCACAGCCCGACGTCCCTGTGGTGCTGCTTTACCCTTCCCTCTGCCCAGCAGCGATACCTGCCAGCACTTCATAGAGCAGCCAGCACAGTATGGGAGGGCCTGGCTCCTGTTCCTCTGGCCCTGCAACTGTATGTGGGGGCCTGGGCCCAGATTAGGTGGGGCTCTACATAAGCAGAAGGTACAACTCCCTTCTCTAAAGTGTCATTTTTCCTCACCTCTACAGAGCCTCCTCTCTGAATAGTGATAGCTTTCAAAAAACAAAACAGCCAGAAAAAAACTCACCTTCTTTGCCAGAGTCTTCCTGCTTCTTACTCCTAGGAAGTAGTTACATCAGGTGTCTGTGGCAAAAAGACAACAGTGTGCTTTTTTGTTTGTTTGTTTTAGAAGTGGACAAAGTTGCTTTCCTTCCCTCCCCCTGCCAAATAACTTACTTGGACATCAGGGCTGGATTTTTCCAGCAGTCCTGAAGATAAACTGTTGGCATTGACCCTTGGAGCATCAACTGTGGGGCAGAAGCAGGGACATGTCCTTTGCCAGAGCTCTCCCAGTAGAGGCAGTGCAGGGCCAGGGGAAGCCCTAGGATGACTTTGTCTAGTGAATTTTGGGCAGCCCCAGGGATGAATCCTGACCATACTGTTCTCCATGTAAAGCTACCTGTAAAGCAGCCAAACATGACAGGAGGGAAGTCTTCTAGAAGAGTTTAAGTTATGAGGTTTCTTTGAAGGGGGACCCCATTCAACTGAGGGCAAGTTACAAACTTAGCTGGGTGGGAAAGTGAATTACTAGGTTTCCAAGAGTGCATGTGTTGGGAGGAGGCAGGGAAAATGCTCAGCCCTGACGCTAGGGAAGAATACAGCTTAACATCCTTAACTCAGTAGTACTGAATAATTGAGAAGGTCAAAATCATAATAGGAAGAAGCAATGGATTAAGGAGGATTGAATCCGTGCCCAAGCAGGTGATTAAAATTAAGGAATAATAGGAGAACACGTAAAGGACATGACCAAGATGCTTTAAATTTCAGAACAGCTCAAGGAATCTATTTCCTGAATTGGAAGGAAATTACATGGAAAAGGATGACAGAATTAATCAAAATGTAACCATAAACAGTGCAGTTCCAGCACACTTGGAAAGGCAAGGCACCATTTAAAAACTTGGAAACGTACATGCTGTGTTTCTTTGCTTGTTTAATCCATTTATCTCAAAGCATCAAAAGTGTATTAACTTACAAATTTGGAAAGCATTTTTACTAAAAATCAGTCTTTTGAATATCATATGACAGAAAGATATATTGACTTTTGCTAAGGTGCTGTATGATTTCCCCCTTATTAATGAGATCAGTAGTTGTGGTATGAATTTGAGTATTAAAGCCTCTCTACTCACAGACCAAGCAACATTAGGATGTGATGTGAATGTAGGTCATCTCTTGTGGTTCTAACTTCCTGACAGATAATGTGATTTTTTTTTTTTAAACAGTACAGAGCAACTGATTTTGTGGTACCTGGGCCTGGAAAAGTGGAGATGACATACACTCCAAAAGATGGAGGCAAACCTGTCACCTATTTGGTCCATAACTTTGAACGTATGTATGATCTTTAAGCTATGATTAGAAGTGGTACTTTTGGTTTATTCATCCTTAAGGTATCAGATCTGTTCCATGGTTCAATGCAACTTTGAGTCCAGTTCATATCTTCCTGGATCAAAGCAGCATTCCAACTACATCATACTAAAGTGGCTCCCTGTCATGATCCATGTGATGATGTTTGGTAGTACCACTTCCCACAGCCCCTTCTGATCAGAGGGAAACTTGTAATCCAAACAGTGCTTGTCCTGAGCAGAGGGAGGTAGAGTTTATAACAGATTAGGTATAACTCTAGTTTTGATTCCTGTCCTGTTGGGCTCTACGTACCTGCACTTTGTATCCTTTATTAAGCAGTCTCTATTCCTGTAACAGAAGGAACAGGTCCCTACTGCACAAAACATAAGGGAGACTTGACAGGAATGGTTCCTAGTGGTTAGACTTTCTCTGCAGCAGTCTTGGTCCCAAAGATATTGATGTACCTTGTAGCACTGTTGCTACATTGGCTGTTAGCACTGCTAGGTTCAGGAAAGGGAATCCTGCCCCTGATGGGCTTTATGGACAAAACCAATTGCATAAACCTTGCTGCCACACAGGGTGTTTTGCTAGGGGCAAGGTTCAGGGAAAGGCTTTATCTGCAATCAAAACATCCATGATCTGATGATGACCTCTGTGACTCTGCACTGTGCTGCTTCTCTCTACAAAAACTAAATACATCAGTACAAACAGCACCCTGACTCTGACTTAGTACCAGTTAGCCAAGCCAAATGCATACT